ATTTTCTATAATTTGTATATAATATTTTTTGTAGCCGTTGTGTAATTTTGTTGTTGCTTTTGTTTCAATTGGTTCTCGCTATTTATTTTATATTTGTACAAAATACAAGATTTGCTTAATAATATTTTGGTACTTCCTGTTCATTTTATTTAATTACTGCAATATGTATATGTACATATATATAATTTTGTAATGGTTGTTACAAACTTAATTCCACKTTTAATTACATTTGGTAAGTAAATTCAATTAAATCAAATATCTACATACATGTACAACTTATTAATCGATTAAATTTCATTTTGGTTTATAGCTATTCTGGGATTAGTTTATTTCACAGAGTTTACACTTCTTAATCCAAATCTTTAACCTCAAAAATATAAAACCAAATATTTGTGTTTTATACTGAAAATGTGGTTTAAGGTATGTTCATTACTTTTTAATATTCACTTTTAACTTTATTTTCATTTATCAAAAAATATATTGTTGCTCATTTCTAAGGCTAAGTTACAAATATTATCTATAAATTTGTTATGTTACAATGGAGTACTTTTCAAATTATACGCTTGGCATTTTCTTTTTAACACTCCTATTTATATTTCTTGCAGAAAATTAACTTGGTGCTTTTTTAGTTTTATTATTCCTAACTTGTGTAACTACACATTTTTCATTTGTTTTTTATGCTACAACTATTCCCTTCTGACTTTTTAATATACCTATATATAAATATGTATTTACTCACTTCAGAGTATCTTAAATTATTTGTTTATAGAAAACTACGTTTGTTAAACATCAATTGTTGTTCTTACATTTGCTTGCTAATGATTGGTTTAGAATGAATTTCTTAAAAAGAACTAACGGCTTCCGCTTAAATTACCTTACTAATTATTCATATTTTTACTAATTACTAATAATTAATATTTTAAACTTAATTTATTCTATCCTATGTTATACTTTATTGCTGTTAAATTCAATTATCATTGCATAGTTTTTATTCAAAAGTACAAATTGAATTCATGATTATATATTTATTCAATTCCATTTTCGATTCTAACTATACCAATTTGGATATAGCCAATTTTTATATAAAGCCCTATTATTTATAGTGTTCTTTGAGTAGAGCAAACATCCATTCGATTACTTCATTAGCATCTACACCTCGCTTTTTCCTATTCTATTATTAAATAGAATTATTTGAAATTTGTGATTTAGTGTTCTGAGCCCTTTTCGCTTGGCAGATGTTGTATCTGAATTGCAGTTTTTGTAAATCTTCATTATATTCGGATATTCGTAGAACTTGAGCCAATATGTATACATGTCAATCTCGATTTTGGCTTCAGTCTTGCACAATACGTATTCAGCTTTCAAAATAGAGAAGCCCTAAATAATTTCCCATTATATTTTTTAATATTCCAGTTCCTGTTGTTGCGATATAAACATTTTCCAAATGTATATTTGTAGAATGCTGCCGATTTGGCCAGATAAAAATCCGGGTCTGTGTCTGTTACGTTTGGAATTAATTTTTAATGAGCAATACCTATTCTAATATGGAATAGGATCATTTGATTACGTTTGCTTACTTGCAAAATTCTTTGGATAGACCATTTCATATGTTATATAAGAATATTTTTGAGTTGTTGCATTGTCGTAAATTGTTTCCCTATATTAGCGATGCGTTTGCTACAATAAAAGTAAAGTTCTCATTTTCACCTTTCTTACATATGTATGTTATTTTATGTATCTTCGTTAAATTATTTTTAAACTTTTCCGTTTGTCAATCATAATAATTTTTTTTTTAAATTATTAGTTGTCCTCGTATAAAAACATGTGTATTATGCATACTTTTATACAAATTAACCAAATAATAAAAACATCTTCTTATTCACATCTTTTGATTTTAAATAAATGCATTTAAATATATTCGTATGCATCCATACTTATATTAAAGACAACCCCAAATAGCCAATATATTCATTCAACTTCATTTTGTTATTCTGGTTGTATTTATTTCATTTATTTTTATTTTTA